CTCCAAGATGAACATGGGCCGACAATGCGAGGTCCCGGTTGGCAGGGCTAACCGAGCCTTATCGTGCATCCATAGGTGCATCTTGAGCAGGTCCAAGGAGGTGATCCTCCCCCTCTATGCGGCACTGGTCAGGCCGCAGCTGGAGTACTGCGTCCAGTTCTGGGCGCCCCACTTCAGGAGGGATGTGGACACCATGGAGAGGGTCCAGAGGAGGCCACCCGCATGGTCCGGGGACAACAGGGCAGACCCTACAATGAGAGACTGCGGGACCTGAACTTGTTCAGCCTTCACAAGAGAAGGCTGAGGGGGAACCTGGTGACTGTCTATAAACTGACTAGGGGGGACCAGAAGGGTTTGGGGGAGACCTTGTTTCCCCAGCGCCTCCCCCCTCCGCATAACAAGGAATAATGGCCACGAGTTGTTGGAGAGGAGGTTGAGATTAGACATCCGTAAGAACGACTTCACGGCCAGGGTGGCTAGGAACTGGAACAACTCCCAAGGGAAGTGGTGCTGGCTCCTACCCTGGGGGGCTTTAAGAGGAGGCTGGATGCCTACCTAGCTGGGGTCATCTGAGCCCAGTTTTTCTCCTGCCCAGGTGGAGGGTTGGACTTGAAGATCTACAAGGTCCCTCCGACCCCACTTCTGTGATTCTGTGATCAAATCCATATTCTTTTTATTTGCTATCCATCTGATGGATATTTCATTTTTATTAATCTCGTGATTTCAAACCTTTTCATGTTCCAGACCTAGTGCACTTTTGCTGCTCAGGACTGGCAGGGCTGTAAATATGCTAAGCACTCACGTGGCAGAGCTCGCTGCCCTCAGGTGGGGAAGGCACGCCTTGTAGAAGGGTTTTGCGTGGGAAGCACTTGAAATGCATGGGAGCTTTCTAGGAAAGGAGGTGTGGAGCTCAGGTGCTCCCGCAATGCAGCCGAATGCACCTGCCTGAAAGGGACCCGGGTCACCTGCAGACAGGGCACCTCTCTGCATTGCAAGAGGCACGCTTTGGACTCATTAGAAAGGTGTCCTGTACTGGAAAACAGAAAACCTGCTCCTCCGCCCTCCCGCCTTTTCACCCACAAAATTTCTCCTATAGGAAAATATGATTTTTGTCAAATTTTTAATTTTCCAGCGGGGAGAAATAACCACAGCTCATTATTTTGCAATACCAGCTGGTTCTGTTTTGCTCAGGTGGGTTCAACTCTTTCATTTCAGTATTTCAGGCTCAACTGTTTTACTCTCTGAAGCTTTTTGTTCTGATTTGGAAAGGCAAGTCATGTTGAAAAGTCAAAAAATGTGTAAGGCTTGAGCATGATCTCAACAAATGCAACTTGTTTGAATGCACTCAATGCAGCTTTTCCAAGCCAGTCTGAGATTTACGGTGTGTTCTTCCACCAACGTCTGTCCGACGCGGTTGGCGCTTGGCCTCGTGTAGCAATGCACCTCGCTTTGCGTTCCCCCGTTCCTGACCCCGCTGTAGAGGAGAAGGCAGCCAGAGCGTCTGGCCCGGGAGTGATTCATGCTCTTTCTCAAGCGACTCTAATTCAGAAGGATTAGGGTGACAGCTCTTTGCCTTGAGACGCAATTGAGAGATTGGGCGACAGGATAAAGAAATGGAAATGACCTTCTGGAGGCCTCCTCCCAAGCCTGGCGCAAATCCAGGCTTGGAGGAGCCGGCTAGGACGCAGCTCTGGCAGGGCTCAGCCTCCGCTTTCTCTTGCGCCTGCGCCCGCGGAGCTGGTGCCGCTCGGCGCTGCTCCCCTGCGCCCGGGCTCCTCTCCTGGCCCCGGGGCATCGTGCAAAACGATCTGCCCCGACGCCAGCCCCGGCGCGTCCAGGCAGAGTGGTCACCTCCATGCGGACGCCTGGCAGTGCCCGCGGGCCCCTGCGCTTGCCTCCGGATGCCCCGGTGCACAGCCGCGCTGCCCCCGCATTGCTCCGCGGGCCAGGCCCATCCGGCATCGTTGTTCCCCGTATTACCTCGTGCCCCAGCCCCGTAGTCCTGCAAGGATCCCGTGGCCCATCTGCCCTTCGCCCCCGGGCACGGACTACGTCACTGCTCCCCACCTCCCCCCAGGCCCCAGATCGCAGCCCTGGTCCCGTGTGATCTCATGTCCTAGCTCCGTATGACATCACAGATCCCCATATTACTGTAGCCCTGGCCTCACATGACATCATGGTTCCCCATATGACTTCATGGCCCAGCCCCATATGACATCACAGACCCCCATATTACCTTAGGCCCCAGCTCCATATGACATCACAGTTCCCCATATTACTCCATACCTCAGCCCCACGTGACATCACACATCCCTGTATAACCTCATGCCCCAGCCCCAGCCCACGTTCCGGATGACGTCACCGCCCCTCCCCACGCAGCCCTGCCAAGCCCCGCCCCCGGAGGACTACAAGTCCCGGCATGCCGCGCGGCGCCGCCCCGGCAGGGCTTCCGTGGGCTGGGCCCGGGGCGCGGGCGGCGGCGGAGCGGGCGCGGGCAGGTGAGCGGGTCCCGTGCGCGTGTCGCGCTGCTGCTGCGCGGGTTTTGCGCGGGGCTGGGCTGAAAATCGCGACTTGCCCCATTTTCATGGGGGGGGCCTGGGACAGCCCCTCAGTGTCTCGGGTGCGCAGCTTTGCCCCCCTCCTCGTGCTTTAAGACCCGAGTCCGAGGGGCTGGACTGAAAATCGCGACTTTCCCCCATTTTCAGCCGTGGGGAGCTGGGCCCTGGCGGGGGGCAGCCCCTGGGTGCCTGGCGGCAGGGCTGGCATTGCCCCCCGGCTTCCAGGGGGTTTAAGACCCCAATCCTAGGGGCTGCTCTGAAAATCCCAACTTGGCTCCCATTTTCATCCGTGAGGCAGCCCCGCTGCCCGTGTGGGCTGTGCGGCATTGCGCCCCCCCGGGGCTCTTAAGGTATTTTAAGACGCAAATCCCAGGGGCAGGTCTGAAAATCGCGCCTTGCCCCCCATTTTCATACGGGCTCCCTGCGTCCCTGGGCTATGCACAGCGTTTAGCCCTGACCTGACCGGGCGTGGTGGCTCACGGCAAACGCCTTCCCTGCCTTTGGGGTCTCTCCAGACTTCGCGGGGGAGCTGAAACGCCACGGCCTTTCCTCGCCACCCGCTCCGCACCCCTTGTCTGCTTGCCGCTCTCCTCCAGGCGACCCACCTCCATCTGTCTGGGTGTCGCTGCATCGGGCGGAGGTGTGCCGATGAGCTCTGCGAGTGGTGCTTGGTCATTATAGGGGTCTAAAAAGAGTAATTTTTATTTAAATGGGGAATTTCCAAGATCAGCAACAGTCCCGCCTTGCACAGGGGCTGTGCGAGGTGCCCCCTGCAGTCCCTTCCACCCCCCAACCAGTTGTTGCACCCAGGGACACTTGCAAATGTTGCGTTGTTACCAGTTGTTGCAC